CCAGTTCCCCGGGTGCTAGTAGCCGCGCTGGTGGGGCACATGCTCGCCAACAACCTGATCGAGCACGCGATCGCCACCCTGATCTCGTTCCACGCGTACCTCAGGCCTGGGGAGTGCGACGCGCTGACGTCGATGCAGCTGGTCCCGCCAGTGGCAGCTGCAGGAGCAACTGCCGCCCACTGGGCCCTGCTGCTGGGCCCCGCCGAGCTCGAGAAGCCGACGAAGGTGGGGGCCTACGACGAGAGCGTGGTGCTGGGCGACTTCGGCTTCCCGCGCCAGTCGCTGCTGGCCCTGAAGGCGCGCTGCCTACGAGCAGATCAACGGCTCTGGAGCTTCCCGCCAGGCGACCTGTCGGGGCAGCTGCAGGTGTCGGCCGCGGCGCTGGGGCTCAGCGCGATGGGCATCACCGCCTACGGCCTCCGGCACGGCGGCGCCTCGCACGACCTCCTGCTGAAGTCGCGGAGCGTCCTGGAGGTCAAGGGCCGGGGCCGCTGGCGCAGCGGCTCGATGCTCAAGCAGTGCGGCAAGGAGGCTCGGGCGCCCGCCGAGCTCCACAAAGCCCTGGCGGCGATCGTGGAGTACGGCCGCCGCGTCTCGGAGGGCCTCGAGAGCGCGTTCCTCCTCGGACGGCCGCTCCCTCCAGTTCCGCCACGGCCCTGAGCGACCTGGAGGTGCGTGCCCGGCTGCGGCGCGTGCTCAGGCAGGCACTTCGCAGCAGCTCCGTGAGCAAAAAACATGTTTTTCTCGATCTGTTCGCCGGTGAAGCCGGCCTGTCTAAGGCCATGCGTTCTCTAGGGGTTGGTGTTGTTTCAGCAGATATAATCAGTCAGCCCTGGTTTGATCTGAATCGCCCCGTTGTCCAGTCCACTCTCCTGGGCTGGATCTCCGGCGGTGTTGCAGTATCAGTGTGGCATGGGACTCCCTGTTGCACCTGGTCCCAGGCGCGCCGCGGGCCTCCGGGTTCAAGCTGGTGCCGCCTCCGCGACTCTGCCCACCTCTGGGGCCTCCCTAACCTCGACCCTCGGGCCTCTAAGGCCTGCAAGCGGGGCAACTCTCAGCTTAAGTTTAGCCTGCGAGTCGTGCGCGCCTGCATCCGAGTGGGCACCCCAGTTGCCCTTGAGAATCCTGGGTCCAGCTGGATGTGGCAGGTCCCCTCGCTTCAGCGGCTCTGTAAAGACCAGACCAGCCACAATTGCACGACGGACTACTGTGGGTTTGGCGCCAGGTGGCGCAAGCGGACCCGGGTCCAGGTTTGGGCTCCATCGTTCTCTATATCTCTCCCTCCACTCTGCCGAGGGAGGGGGGGCATCTGCAGTCACTCGAATAAGCCCCACATCGTGCTGACTGGAGTCGACCAGAGCTCGGGCAAATTGTGGACAAAAGTTGCGGAGCCCTACCCTGTTCGGTTTCGCCACGCCTTTGCCCGAGCGCTGAAAAACAGTATTGATTCTAATCGCCTCTGCCGCCTGCGTCAGATATTACATTAATCAGCGGCTGTTGCCAGGAGCCCGCAAGGGGTTGTGTGGGTTTCTCCTCTCTCCTCCTCGTTCGCCGTGTGTGTGTGTGTGTGTGTGTTGTGTGTGTCTGTGCCGTGTCGGCGTTCGTCCCTCCCGTTCCCCCTCCGAGTTCAGCGAATGCCGCCCTGCCTGCTCGAGAGCCTGGCCTGAGACACATAAAAAGCTCTCCTGGCCTGGATAGCTGGTGCGATGGCCCGTTCTCGAACGATAATCGCTGGGGGGTTGAAGGCCGCGCGGGTTCTCCGAAACCGCCCCGGCTCAAGCCTTTTCTGTGCCCGCCCTCTGCCTCCCTTTCTTTTCTCCTCTCTCCTCCTCGTTCGCCGTGTGTGTTGTGTGTGTGTGTGTGTGTCTGTGCCGTGTCGGCGTTCGTCCCTCCCTTTCCCCCTCCGAGTTCAGCGAATGCCGCCCTGCCTGCTCGAGAGGATGATGAGGACGACGACGATGATGACGATGATGATGCTGATGATGACGATGCTGATGATGATGATGATGTTGATGATTGTGATGATGATGGGAATGAGGATGATGCTGATGATGCTGCTGATGATGCTGCTGCTGATGATGATGATGATGACGATGGCGATGAAGACGACGACGACGATGATGATGATACTGATTGTGCCGATGATGGCCCTACTGATGATGATGAACATGAATCTGATAAGGATGAGGTATGATGATGCTGCTGCTGATGATGCTGACAATGACGATGATGATGACGCTGATGATGATGATGATGGTGATGATGATGATGCTGATGACGATTGACGATTTTGCTGTTTTTCTTGATGATGCTAATGATGCTGATGATGCTACTGATGCTGATGACGATGGCGATGACGATGAGGATGATGATAATGCTAATGATGATGATATTGATGATGGTGATCAGGATGCTGATTCTGATTATAATGACGATGCTACTGATGAGGATGCTGCTGCTGATGGTGGTGCTACTATCGATGCTGATGACGATGATGGTGATGATGAGGATGTTGATCACGATGATGACGATGCTGCTGACGATGATGAGGGTGAGGATGCGGATGAGGATGACGATGAGGATGGTAGCGATGATGGTGATGATGATGATGATGACGATGCTGTTGATGATGCTGTTGATGATGCTGCTGATGATGCTGATGATGATGATGCTGATGCTGATGATGAGGATGCTGACGATGATGATGATGTTGATGGTGATGATGATGACGACGATGATGATGCTGATGGTGATGATGCTGATGATGATGCTGCTGCTGATGATGATTATGCTGATTATCATGATGATGCTGATGATGATGCTGATGATGAGGATGATGATGATGCTGATGATGATGCTGATGATCATGATGATGATGATGATGATGATGATGATGAGGAGGAGGAGGAGGAGGAGGAGGAGGAGGAGGAGGGGGAGGAGCATGAGAAGCAGGAGGAAGAGGGGGAGGATGAGGAGGAAGGAGGCGGGAGAAGGGAGGGTAAATGAGGGAGAATGTGACCTACTCGACTGGCGGGCACGTCGGGAACCACACCGCCGCCGAGGAGAGATCACGGATGCGGGAGAAGGGCGGAGGGAGGAGGGATGGGGAGGAGGATGATGATGCTGATGATGATGATGATGATGATCAGGATCATGATTCTGCTGCGGCTGATGATGATGCTGATGAGTATGATGATGCTAATTATGATGATGATGAGGATGATGATGATGATGATGATGATGATGATGATGATACTGACAATGATGATGATGACGACGATGATGATGATGATGATGATGATGATGATGATGATGCTGATGATGCTGATGCTGATGCTGATGCTGATGATGATGATGACGATGATGATGCTTCTGCTGATGCTGCTGCTAATGATGATGCTGCTGATGATGCTGATGCTGATGATGATGCGGATTATGGTGATGATGATGGTGCTGATGATGATGATGATGATGAGGCTGATGATGATGATGATGATGATGATGATGATGATGATGATGATGATGATCAAGCTGATGCATATACTAATTATGATGATGAGTTTGATCATGGTGATGGTGGTGATGATGATGTTAATGATGATGATGATGATGATGATGCTGATGATGATGAAGATTATGCTGATGATGATGATGATGCTGATGCTGATGATGATGATGATGATGATGATGATGGGGGTGGTGGTGGTGGTGATGATGATGCTGCTGATGATGATAATGATGACTACTGCTGATGGTGATGATGGTGATGAGGATGTCGATGATGATGATGATGATGATGATGATGATGATGATGATGATGATGCTGCTGCTGCTGATTTTGATGATGATGATGATGATGATGCTGATGATGCTGATGCTGTTGCTGATGCTGATGCTGATGCTGATGCTGATGCTGATGCTGATGCTGCTGCTGCTGATGATGATGATGATGATGATGATGCTGATGATGATGATGATGATGACGACGATGATGATGCTGATGCTGCTGCTGATGCTGATTCTGATGCGTCTGCTGCTGCTGATGATGATGATGATGATGATGATGATGATGATGGTGGTGGTGGTGGTGGTGGTGGTGATGATGATGATGATGATGATGATGATGATGATGATGATGATGGTGAGAGAGGAGGAGGAGGAGGGGAGAGGAGGAGGAGGGAGGAGGAGCAGAAGGAGGAGGAGGAGGAGGAGGAGGAGGAGAGAAGGGAGGAGGAGGAGGAGAGGAGGAGCAGGAGGAGGAGGAGGAGGAGGAGGAGGAGGAGGAGGCGGTGGAGGGTGAGGAGGGGAAGGAGGAGGAGGAGGATTTTATGTTCACAACTCGATCAGACATTTGTCTGTAATTGGCAATGGTATTTAACTATATATATACACCTATATATATATATGCACGCTCGTGCTGCTCGATCTCAGCTCTTACAGCAGGCTGAGGTTGAGGCGTGATGACCTACGAACCCCCCTTTGGATACGTCCGAGGAGGAGGAGAAGGAGGAGGAGGAGGAGGAAGAGGAGGAGGCCAGCACCAGGGCGGGGAGCGCCGCGGAGGAGGAGGAGGAGGTGGAGGAGGCAGAGGAGGAGGAGGAGGAGAGGGAGGAGGAGGAGAGGGAGGAGGAGGCAGAGGGTGAGAAGATTGAGGACGAAGCGGCGCAGGCCAGCCCCAGGGCGGGGAGAGTGCCGATGAGGAAGGGCGATGAGGAGCCAGTAGAGGCCGCCGAGGAGGAGAAGGACGAGGAGGAGGAGGAGGAGGAGGAGGAGGCGGATGCGAGGCGAGCAGGAGGTGGGCGAGTCGCCTGGCACGCGCGGGCGCGGCACTGCGCGCGCGGGCGCCGACCGCTTGCCCCGGGGGTCCCCTCGAACTCGGGACCCGTGGGGCCGTGACGGAGGAGGAAGCAGCAGCAGGCAGAAGAGGCAGAAGAGGAGGAGTGTGAGGAGGGAGGCCCCTCTCGCCCATCTGTGATCCTCGCGCGACGTGTTCCCCGCAGGTGGGCTGGGTGACCGGTCTGCTACAGCAGGGCTTTGCCACCGGGCAGGCCCGCTCCCCTGCGGTTCGCTGAGAATAGGTCGAGCTGGAAGTGAGGTCGGCTGTGCGCTGTCGTCTAGCCCCTGCGCCCCCGTGTTGAGACTGGAATTTTCTGCACGCTTTGATGGCACCCACCCCCCATACTCAATATACGGTCGGGAACGTTTGCTTAGAGTGTCGTGCCGCCAGTTCTGGCCCGCCGCGCATCGGCGCGACACGCTAACCACTGCCCAATTACCAAGGGTCAACGCCCCGAGCTTTTCCCAGCCTCTCCGGCCCCGCGCACTCAGCGACACGCTAGCAACGAGCTCGCGGCACTGCAAGACTGCTGTGCGGTCATTACGGGGCCCAAAGGTATACACCACGAACACCTCCCTCATCCCTTCCCTCTCCCAGGAGAGAGAGGAGAGGAAGACGAGGGTGGATTGTTACGCTGTTGAAGCATGTAGCCTGTCAGCAGAGATTGGCACGCAGCTTGCAGAGACAATTCAGCGCAGTAGCAGCTGTATTAAACGTCGAGCTTTGAAAACTCTGCACGGGCACCTAAGGTTAAAGGACAGTGCGCAGTAACAAAAATCAGCCGTGATCAGGTCAACGGCAGCGGCAGAGAAACGCGGGGCGGTCTTGGACCGATGCTGGCGACGCGGCCCTGATCGCCAAATCAGTTCAATGAAGGCTGTACACGACGAGGGTGAGAGGAGCACGTTCGGCATGCGTGCGCGGGAAACAGACAAAATGTCTCGACAACTCCTCTGCAATCGCACCTCAGCTCCTCATCCTAACGGGCGGAGGCACGGAATGCCTGGCGGGCGGGGGGGGAGGGATAGCGCAGGCCGCGTTCTGACCTGAACAGCAAATTTTGGCGACTTGTGTATCCTAGGGGCTCGAACTAGAAGCGTCGGCCGCTCGACTCTCCCCCGAGGGTACCCGTCGTGGACGGTGTGGGTGGGCGGCGGCCGCGCGCGGGCGCACGCTGCTGCTCTGCCGTGCCGCTGGTCGCTCCCAGCTCTCTCTGCATCCGTCTCTGGAAGAGGGCGAGCAAGGCGAAGGAAACGAAAGGAAGGGGGAAATAAGGGAGTCGAGAAGTGGGAAACAACTCGAACAGATGGCCCAAGGCCATGGACATGAGAAAGGTGTCTGGTTCATCGAGCTGACGCTGATCTGGGTGAGGCTGGCTGCTGCACGCATCTGCTGCTGAACTGCCCTCCGTCCCGTAAGTAACCTGCCCGACCGAACGACCCACAAAGCTGACTAGTCTCGGGCTTGGTCAAACATTCCAACCCCGAAACCAGGTTGCAACTTCCAAGGGGCTATCTGCTTGGTTCGGCGCAGCCTGCGACGCGACGCTCCTTGGCCTGCGCTCGATTGACTGCAATGCGTTGCCGAACATCCTCAGTGAGCTCTACTGGCCGTGGAGGGGGAGGAGGTACGCAAGGGAGGGAGGGCAGGGACAGGGAGGGCAGACGAGGGTGGAGGAGGGAGGAGGAATCGACGTGGTGGTGGTGGTGTATATTCTTGGGGCCCGCCGTCATGAGCTTTTGCTTATCGTGTCGCGCCCCTGGTTCTGGCCCACCACGCTTCGACGCGACACGCTAAGCGCGTTCAAGCTCTCGAGCATCGACGGCCCGACCCGTTCCCAGTCTCCCGCCCCACGAGGCGGAGCGACATGCTGTCAGCTTGCGCGACATAGCGCCTCGCATTGCCCCCCGCCGCGGCACGCCAGGCAAACGTTGCTGACCGTACTCCTCTGTCCCTCCTCCTCCTCCTCCTCCTTCTCCTCCTCCTCCTCCTCTTCCTCCTCTTCCTCCTCCTCCTCCTTCTCCTCCTCCTCCTCCTTCTCCTCCTCCTCCTCCTCCTCCTCCTCCCCCTTCTCCTCCCCCTTCTCCTCCTCCTCCTCCTGCTGCCGCAGCTCTTCGTGCTCCCTCGTGCCGCCGCTGCTCTTGCTCCCCCATCGGCCCCTCCCCTGTCTTCCGTCCCTGTCTCTGTCCCTTCGTGCTCAGATGCCGTGGTGCTCTGTGCCCCGCACCGCACGCCAGACTGTGGGGTCGGCTTCGCCCCCTGAGAGCCCCCGTGCCTGTTTACGCTGCCTGTCTGTACTTGATCCAGGGGGCGCTGGCTTCTGGGAGGCCAGGCTGTTCTTCATGTCTCAATCTGCCTACCCGATTTTTTTTTTTTGCAGTGGCCCTCCCAGAGCCAGTGTGTGCAATAAGTGAAGGGGCGAGTTGAATCGACACGCGAAAGACTTGTACCCTGTCGCGTCAGTACCTCCAAGGACCTGCACAAGCTCCAGTACTCCCCAGAACGTGCCATCATTGGCTACTGAGCATGTATCCTCACTGCGCCATGTGTGTGTGTACTCTTACATCGCCGGAGCAGCCCCTCTGCCCAGCCGCCGACGCAAGGAAATGTGTACTCCTGCGCCGCGCGGCCGAGCTCGTAACCGCCGCGCGCGTAACCGCCGCGCGCGTAACCGCCGCGCGCGTAGCCGCGACCTTACACATTGTCTGTGTGTGTGTGTGTCTTCATGCCCATGCCCGAGTCTGCCGACGGCTTGTCGACCCAATGCGGGTCCTTTACGCTCTGAGCGCCCCCCCTTGCGCGCCCCCGCCCGTTTGGTGACTTTCTCCGCCTCGGCACTGCGCGCGAGGCCGCGACCGCCATACAGTGTGTGTGTGTGTGCCTGTGATTATTTTGCCGGTTTTACCACATGGTGTCGGCAGCTACGCAACTCGGACATTGATATGGCCTCCGCCGCAGTCGCGCTCGTTCGGAGTTGAGGGTCGCGCGTGTCTGCATTCACATGTTTGTTTGTGCTCAATTTATGTGGATTCGTGTACGTCGGAAGCGCACATTGAGGTGAAATGGCGATGTCAGCATATGGACCAGTTGCAGCATAACGTTGCGTGGATGGCCCACAATATCGCCAGGTCACGGAGCTCATGGACAGACTCTCGAAGCGCTCGGGCGCCCGCTCTGAGATCCACGAGTTCCCCAGCACTGGAGTTCAGCTCGTGTAGGCCTTAGATGTGAAAGGACGATGCGCGCACGGTAGCACTATCGTCTTCCACGCCCGCTTTGAACATATCCATTGTCTGCCTTCCAACTCATACAGTATTGAGCTTGTTATTCCTCGATCGTCTATCTTCCTGTGCAAGTCTTTTTCTACTCAGCAAGAGGATATTGATTCTCTCTGGGCGTCCAGCTATGGCCCACGGGCAGTGGCCACCTATACGTCCAACATCAGTTGAAGTGGGGTCTCATGTTCCTGGGGCGTTAAAGTCGCTGAGCATTCGGTCAGCTCGCATGCTTGTGCATTATCCTTGGCTCTTGGTCCAAGGGCGAACGCCGCCGTGCTGTCCCAGCGGGGCCATGGCTGCCCCCGTTGGTGGCGTCCTGCCGCCGGCCGTGGAGCGGAGAGGCGTGAAGAGGGCTCTGCCCGCGGCCGCTTGCGTGGACGCGGACGACCTCCGGCGCTTCGACTCGCTCGTGGCCGCGGCCCGGGCGGCAGATGGAGTGCTGTGGAGCCCGAAGCTAACTCGGTCGTGCTTGGAGGTTCCGGGCATCTTCGCGTCTGAGGGGGTCCAGGCCGGCGAGTTGCTCTGCGCCGTGCCCTCGGGGATGCTGCTCTCGCAGGGGACCTGTGAGCGGGCCATGCCGGAGCTCTTTGCGGCAGTGGTGGCCCTCCCCTGCAAGGACTCGACAAATTGAAACATACGGATACCGCTGCCTGGCCCTGGCTTAGCTGTCTCCTTTTTGGGCTTACTCGGAGGCCCTCGTCGCCACGGCTGGAGTCGCTTCGAAATTTTGGCCAGAACGCACCCCGAGAGAGGTCCGTGGAGCAGCGGTATGGGTGCTTCTGGTCCCCCGCAATGGACACATTTTTTTTTTTTTTTTTTTTTGAGTTCTGCGTGTGTTTGCTGGATCGGCGCAGGGCCCTCTCGCTGCGCGGAGCGCGCCAGAGACAGCGCCAGAGGCGTCGCCAGGGGGCCCAGCGCCGGTCCAAGAAATCCATGCGGGGCTCCGAAAGTTTATGTTTCCGGGCCTCCCGAGCGGATGCGGTCGGACGATCGCGCGGGCCCTATTTTCTCCATGCCGATGGCGCCGATGCATCGCCGACGTCGCCATTTCATCGCCAGTGCATCGGCGGTGCATCGGCGATGTAGCGCTGGCCTCTGGCCCCATCTGCTCGGACCCTATTTGGGAGGCCACCAGTGTTTCTGCAGCTGCTTCTTCCTCTGCGGATCCTGAGTTGGCCCTTCCCTTCCCTCGTCGCCACGTCCTGGGAGCAGCTGCTTTGCCCCCTCAAGAAACGAAGACTTTAGGAGCTCTGCGCGGTCTTCTCGGATCGGCGCTGGCCCCATTTGTTTCCGTTTGTTGTGTGTGTGTGTGTGTGTGTGTGTGTGTGTGTGTGCTAGCTTTGTTGTTTTTCCTCCTCGAAGGACCGTTCGCTTTGTTGTTTTTCCTCCTGTGTGTGTGTGTGTGTGTGTGTGTGAGTTTTTTTTTTGTGTGTGTGTGTGTGTGTGTGTGTGTTAGCTTTGTTGTTTTTCCTCCTCTTGTGTGTATGTTGTGTGTGTGTTGTCCGTGCAAGGGCGGCGCGCACGCTCAGTCATCTTACAGTAGAATCTCCGTGGCGGTCGCTCTCTGGCCAGACCGCTCGGGAGGCGATCTCCTGTAAGAGGTTTGTACTCTGTGTCCGGCTCGGACGTTTGCCTCCAAGGAGGGCGCATCGTACTAGTATTCCCTTCTGCGCCCCATTTTGTATATCATTATTCGTGCTATTATTATTATTATTATTATTCTTATTATTATTATTACTATTCTTCTTCTTCTTCTTATTATTATTATCGTGAATATCATGTTTTATTTTTGCTATATTTGTTTTTTTGGCTGTTATCTCGTATTTATTACGATTATGATGATTAGTAGTATTCATATTACCATTATTTTTTACTACTACTGTTCTGATTATATGATTATTATTATTACGTCTGTTATGATAAGTATTCTTGTATGTTCATTTTGTTTGTTTGTTTTATTTGTTTGTTTGTTTTTCATCCTCCAAGGATCCCGAGTTGGCGCAGGAGGCGGCGCACACGGCCTGCGTCGCCTTGCTGCTGCGCGGCGCGGAGGCGCGAGCCGGCCGCGCTCCCGCGGAGCCGGCGGCCGGCGGCGGCGAGGGCCGCCCGCGCGGCGTACCGGACCTTTGGCTCCGCTGCGCAGATTCCATGCGGAGAGGGAAAGACACTGTAAGCACAAGCTGTCGGAGGTGGTTCTCGGCGTCAGCCCAACACACTCATACTACATGTGCGTCGCCCCCCCCCCAGGGGCGACGCGCGCACCGAGAAATCTTACAGTATATGTGTCGCGGCGAGCGTTTTCTGGCCACGCAGCTCGGGAAAGGATACACTATAAGATGCGTGTGCTATATGTTCGGGTCGGACGCGCGCCTCCAAGGAGACCATTTAGTACTAGTATGTTTCTGTGCGTCCCATGTTTTTATCATCCATTCCGCGGCCGCCCTCTTCTCTTCGGCCCGCTCCCGCGCCTCGTGCCTGGCGCCCCCGCGGGAGGCGGCACCCGCGCCCGCGATATTCATGGAGACCATTTTTTAATCCACCCAAGGGATAACGCATGTTATCCCCCCCTTTCCCCCCCTTTCCTCCCCCAGTTACCGTTCCCCTCCCCCCCACGCCCCCACCCCCCCGGGTAACATGCGTTATCCCCCGGAAATAAGAAATGGTCTCATGGGAGCCTTGTATGTCCTCGCAATTCCGTCTTTAGAGTCATGAGCGTGCGCTCGCTTCTGGTGGTCGATGGGAGGGCGCCGATCTGGCGTCGATGAGCGTCGGTTCGCGTCGATTGGCGTCGATTCGCGTCGGCCAGCGTCGGTTCGCAAGAATCAGCAAGATGGCTAGGGAGGCTCTCGTGCGTTGCCACCGAAGCAAGCTATAGTTTTTTGGTGTTGTTTCTATGTTCTAGCTTATTGTACGTTCGTTGTTTTGTTTTGTTATTTTTGTTTTGTGTGTGTGTGTTTGTGTGCATGTGGGTGTTTGGTTGTTTTTGTTTTTGTTATTGTGTTTTGTGTGTTCTATATCTATGGTGTTTCCGTTGCTTGTTTTTGTCTTCGAGCAACAAACCTTTGGCGCGCAAGGGTCGCCACCCAGGACAAGCCCTTCCTCCCCCCCCTCCCCGGGTAACGGTGATGCTCCTGCGCGGGGAGCGGGCTGGGACCTCGCCCCACATGCTGGTGCTCGCGCGCTTACTCTGGCGATCGCAGCGCGCCCCTGCCCCGACGCGCCCGACCCCGCCCAAGCGTTACCTCTACCCGGGCCCACAACCCACCCCTTCCCTCCCAGGTAACTACCGTTATCCGGAAAAAATACAAAACAACCTACGTAAGCCTCGAAGGATTTGTCGACTTTTCGTCCCCAATCGACTTGTGGGGATCGAGCCAGGTAAATCTAGCTGAGTGCAGATCAATCGAGGTAGATCCAGGTAAATCGAGATACATCCGGGTAAATCCAGGTTGATCCGGAGATCTCCAGGGAAAGTTGGAGCAACTCGCGGCCGCTCCAGCGCGAGTCGAAGGACGGCAGAAGTCGTGAAGCCTGTAAGGAGTAAGCACAAGCTGCCAGAGGTCCACGCTGGGGACATTCTCTCCCTCTGGAGGTTCCAGGGGCCATCCCGGCACGCGCGGCCGGCCCGCGCGCCATAGTCCCTGGCTCCGGCTCGGCGGGTTAGCACCACCTTCACGGGTCCCTGCTTCCAAGGGGCAACGGGCTGGGACTGAGCACCTCACGTACCCGGTCTATTTTGTCATCCACCGCCTTGAGCGGAATATAAGGCTGACTATAATTTGGATGCGTTTTTTTTTCTTTGGTGGGCTATTGCAACACTTGAGCTGCAATGCCGGTTTGCCAGATGTGCGTGAGCCGCGGCGTGGAGGGCGAGACGGTCCCAGGCTCGGCCTCCTGCTCAGCGCACAACGCTGAGGTGCAGAACATGCTCGGCGTCGATCGGAACAACATCCACAGCATGGAGGATGTCTCGATGGAGGGCCGCGGGATGACGCAGCCATTCACAGAACTATCTTTGGCGGCCGCTCCCGACGTCCTTCCGCCTCCTGGGCTGGCTCCTCCAGCAGCTGCTGCGGCCTCGGGCTCGACGGTCGCGGTCGTCACTCCGACGGTGCGCCTGCCTGGCGAATTGTTGAAGGAGTTCGTGGAGCGGGAGGTGCTGCAGCACTTTGACCTGGTGCGCGCCGGGCAGCTGATCGCCCCCGCCCCAGCGCAGTTGAGCGTAGACTACCCCACGAACTGGCCAGCTCTCCGAAGGATCTTCGAGAGTCTGGCTTACGACGTCGACACGCCAGACCCTTGGCGCCGGCTCGGGCTGGCAATGTACGAGGGCCCGGACCCCACGCTGGAGATGCTGGCCGCACGCGCCCGGACGGCACGCCTGCTTGGAAGTCCGGCGACTCCCGCGACTTGGGCGGCTGAGGACCTCAATCGGGTGGCGCACTTCGTCGAGTCATTGGACTGCGCTGTGCGGCATTGCCAGGACGAGCTACCCGCCATCCAAAAGGCCCGCAGGAAACTCAAGATTCGTCGCCTGCCGCTTCACAAGGAGCTGGGCGAGGCTGCGTGCCAACTTCTCGGGGAGAGTGCCCTGGGGGACGACGAGCTCATGTACACCCAGTGGTCGGACGTACTCGGCGTCGTGAAGACCTTGCAGCCGGCCACTGCGGCCCAGGTGCTTCGCGCGTCCCGGGACATCGCTACGCTCTCTGAGATGGGGGACGCCCGCTTCTGGCAGAGCGCTGCTGGTCGCCGTATCGTGGTGTGGGCTCCCTCGGATACCAACGCCCTCACACGCTGCCTCGCCGCGGGTCTCCGGATTGTGGATGCGACGCAACGCCCGCTTTCAGTGAGGATGGTGGCGTCAGTGCCGTTTCTTCCAGGTATGTCGTCGATGTCAGGGGTCATGGATCTATGGTGGCACCCCTTGCTGG